TTTAGCCTCCATGTATTTGAGTTCTTTCCAACTTTCTTCATGTGATTGAGTTCTAGTTTCAAAGCATTGTGGTCCCAAAATATGCACGGAATGATCCCAGTCTTTTGGTACCAGTTGAGACCTGATTTGTGACCCAGGATGTGATCTATTCTGGAGAATGGTCCATGTGCACTCGAGAAGAATGTATATTCTGTTGCTTTGGGATGGAATGTTCTGAATATATCTGTGAAGTCTATCTGGTCCAGTGTGTCATTTAAAGCCTTTATTTCCTTGTTGATCTTTTGTTTAGATGATATGTCCATTTCAGTGAGGGGGGTGTTAAAGTCCCCTACTATTATTGTATTATTGTCAATGTGTTTCTTTGATTTTGTTATTAATTGGCTTATATAATTGGCTGCTCCCATGTTAGGGGCATAGATATTTACAATTGTTAGATCTTTTTGTTGGATAGACCCTTTAAGTATGATGTAGTGTCCTTCCTCATCTCTTATTATAGTCTGGTTTAAAATCTAATTTGTCTGATAGAAGGATTGCCATCCCAGCTTTCTTTTGATGTCCATTAGCATGGTAAATGATTTTCCAACCCCTCACTTTAAATCTGGAGGTGTCTTTGGGTCTAAAATGAGTCTCTTGTAGGCAGCATATTGATGGGTCTTGTTTTTTTTTATCCAATCTGATACCCTGTGTCTTTTGATTGGGGCATTTAGCCCATTTACATTCAGAGTAACTATTGAAAGATATGAATTTAGTGCCATTTTATTGCCTGTAAGGTGACTGTTACTGTATATTGTCTCTATTCCTGTAAGGCAGGAAGTCTTATCAAGCCCTTTGTTTGGTCCTGCAGAAGTGGCAGCCCTGTACACTGAAGATAGCTGGGAGCTGCTTCTAAATTGCTGGCATAGGGTTAAGACAAGAAAGACAGGAGGGGCTCCTGGGTGGCTCAGTCGGTTGGGTGTCCGACTCTTGGTTTCAGCTTAGGTCGTGATCTCAGGGTTGTGAGATCGAGCCCCACATCAGGCACTTCACCCAGTAGGGAGTCTGCTGGAGAGTCTCTCTCTTCATCTCCCTCTGCCCCTCTCTCCACTTGTGTGCACATGGGTATGCACTCTCTCTCAAATAAATAAATGTTAAAGAAGAAAGAAGGACAGGAAAACTTAACCTTATTATCAACTAAACTTCTATTAGTCTTTTTCACTTCTCCCCTATTCACTTCTACCAATACCCCCATGGGGATTTTTAAGATCCAGGAGCAAAACTTAACAATTTCCTCTGTTAAAATTAATCTGTTCATTTAGGATCCTATCTCTAGCCTGGCAAGCACATTAATGTTTCTGAGTCTATTTAATATATTTATTTATTTTTTTTTTAAGATTTTA